ATGGCCTTCCTAAGGTGGCATGGAGGGTGGGCTTCCCGAGGGTGCCTTGTACTTGACAGGGTAGTCTTCTTACATTCTTGGTGTGGTGATTTTGGTTAATGGCTTTGAAGTGTTGATAGCCTTTCCCAGGCTTAGTGGTTGATGTTTCTGAAGGTACCTGATAGAGTTACAGGTATATGTATATTGTTGGGCGATATTTCTGAAGATACAGAGGTTTTAAGTTTTATGTTTCTCCCAATTATTGATGTTTTTACAATTACTTTTTATTAGTCCATGACTGTGTAGCTAAGGCTCACTTTGAGCTTCTCCTGTCTCAGCCTCCTGAGTGCTGGGATTGCATGTGTGTCACCACATAGGTGCTCGGTACTGAGCCTGGGTCTTCTGGAAGAGCAGCCAGTGCTCTTAACTGCTGAACCATCTCTCCAGCCCCTTTCTTTTCTTTTACAGCTGAATATAATTTTTGTGTTTGGCTGTTGGTGGGCACTTAGTTTGCACTACATGTTAGCTGTTGAGAATAATGTGGGTTTTTGTTGTTGTTTTTTTAGAGGCACTCATGAAGCCTAGTCTGGCCTTACTGTATAGCTGAGGATAATCAGGAACTTCTGATTCTCTCTTAAGTGATGATATTGCAGGAAGGCACCAACATACTGTTTATGCAATACTGGAGATCAACCAAGGGCATTGTGGTGCTGGGCAAGCACTCTGTTAACCGAGTTAATAGCATTCTTTTGTATAGAACCTGAAGTGGAAATGCTGGGTCATCTGGTAATTTTTTTCTTGTGTGGTTTGTTTTGTAACAAACAAGTCTATTTTTCATTATTTTGAGGAACCAACAGGCTTTTCCATAGTCCCTGTAGTGTTTTCCATTTCTCTCTGCAGTGCATGAAGGTTTGGATTTCTCCACATCCTCACAGAGTAATTTGGGGGCTGCTTTGGATTGTATAGAGGTACCTCACAAGTGCTTCCCACTAAGCTCTCCTCCTTCACCCAGCTTCTCACAAAGTCCTTTAGCTTTCTAGTGTGACTTTGAGAAACCCAAAGCTTTTTATCTTTGGAATTCTTTGTGAAAGCCCCAGGCTACGCTTTCTGGCTAGCTCATGAACTTCAGTGATGCTTCTTGTGAAAGTCTCCTTCAGGAATTCTCTAATTTCTTTCCTTGTTTTCTATCCTCTTTATTTTAAAACCTTTCTATTCAGTTTTTAATTTCTGCTTTGAGTCTTTAAATTTTGAAGGCCCCCACCCTTCAGTGGCACTGGGTGTTTAACGACGCATTATCTTGATCTTTCTGGAGGTAGCAATGACTTTTTAAATGTGTGTTGTATATATATATAAAGTCTTTCTGTTTTCTTTTGCACTTTTCTGTTTACTATGGCGTTCTTCATGCTAGGCTTTCTGAAGCAGTCTGGTAATCTTTGGCTTTGCTCATGGGTAAAGGTCAGAGATGCACAAATGGAGAGTTAATCCTAGGAACTGCCATTCTTTCTAAGCTTCACCACTGAAAGAGCAGAGGAAGTAGCGCCACCTCTCTTTTGTGTACTTCTTAGCTTTTCAGTTACAAATGTCTTCCACTGACCAGAATCGGGACTTCTTGGAGAATGGTGGATTTCCAAAGTTGTGGCAGAGAAAGGAATGATATGAACCAGGAACATGCTGTGAGGGGAGTTCACACAAAAGCTTCTAGGACAGCTCATATGGCCAAATATGGGACATTGTGAACATGGTGCTAATAAGAGTATATGAGTTCATACTAATAATGAATTCAGGAAAGAGTGGGTGGGGAGACAGGAACATACCTTACACAGTTAGAAAGTCAGGTCATAAATGCAGAAGGCAGCTGAGTGGTGTAGTGTGGCACCTGGTAGGCACACCTGAAGCTGGAAGACCAGGAGTTCAACATCATCCTCTGCTGTGTAGTGAGTTTGAGACCAGCCTGGACTATGTGAGATGCTGTCTCAAATATAAATATATGTAAGTATCATAGTGTCACTGTCCAGTGAGTATTGAAACTCTCAAGTGAATTTTCTAAGAGCATCATCTGTGCATGTCTTCTTGCAGATTGCTTACTGATGAGTCACTAAAGAAAATGGTTACTTTACAATAAGAAATCTAAGTTGACCTCATCTAGTTATCATTACTGCCAGAAATCTACACCCAGCATTCAGAAATGAAATGAAAGAAAGTTTTAAAAATGTGTTTAGGTGATGGGAAATGAAGGAGACCTGGTTTCAGTTGTGTGTGACCCTGACTTGAAGCATAGGCATTGCCACTGAGGTAGGTGTGCTGTAGAGCAGCTATGGTTGAGCAGTTCCTCACCTGGGTGTGTTCAGAGTTGTGCAAGAGAATCAACTCAGCAAACAGTTTCTGGAGGAGTTAAGGAGAGGCTGGAGGGTCACTTCTGATAAAGCTTGTGCATGAAATACTTGAGGCCTGGGTTTCATCTTCAGCAGCATACCTGAATACACACATAGGGAGCTAATTCAGTTGTTTTGAAGTTTCTTGAACTGCTGAAATGGAACTTCCTATGACTAAACATTTTATTTTGCTTTTACTCGCATATGTGTACAGAAGTATTTGGGTATGTGCACATGAGTATCAGTGCCCTTAGAGGACAGAAGTAGTTTTCAGATCCCCTAGAGCTAGAGCTAAAAGCAGTTGGGAGCTATTTAACCTGGGTATTGGGAACCAAACTTAGGTTCTTAACCATTGAGCACCCCACCCCTAGGACACCAAACCCTGAACTTTTAAGATTAACAGATGAGAGTGGCTGATGGGCAGCTTCAGTGTTAGGCAGGGCTTATTGACCCGGGCATTATAGCAGATCACTAGTTTGGCTCACTTGGTTAATAAGCTCCAATAAAATTCCAAGTCGTGTGGTGTCCCGTCAGTGCCCTCCCCCCCAACACACACACATCAAGCTCATTCACCTAACTCGTAAGACAGTTTCACTTTTCAGTCTGAAGAGTAAAGGTCTTGCTTGCTGGCCAGGAAAGGAAGAACCAAAGAAAGGATCCTGACTGGGGTGGGGTATGACATTCCTTGTCCTGGCATTGGTTCTGTAGCTCTTTGAATTTTTTCAGTGTGGCTGTCCCAGTTCAAAGAGCTGTCTTTTAGCTTATGGGAGGGAATCTGCTAGTGTGGAAGGAGAGAGTGAGATTTAGGATCTAAGCATAATATTTGATCAACATTCTGTTTCTAGCACTCCTGATTTTGCTGTCTTCTTGCTTGTAATTTGTGCTTTGGGGAATAGACATGAACAAAACCAAAAAGCATTCTTTTACTGTTGTTTTGTAGATCTATTTTCAGTGCATATTGATTATTCCTCTTTACCCAGCAGTCTCAGTATTGTACTGGCACCCAGTTCTGTTCTTCTGCATCTTATTTCTTACTATTCTAACATTTTTAAGTATACAGATTTTCTTGGTATTAAACACACACCTTAATCAGTTTGTGATGGTCTTTGTTACCTGTCATCTTGACAGAATCTAGAGTCACCTGGGAAACCGGCCACTGGCCATACCTGTGGGGATTATTTTGAGGTAGGAAGAAAGACCTGACCACTGTGGGTGGTCCTGGCCGAGGTCCTGGACTCTGTAAGTGGAGAGAGGGAGCTGAGCAGCAGCAGCAGCAGCATTCATTACTCTTCGCTTCCTGATTGTGGATCCCATGTGACCAGCTGCTTCAAGCTCGTGTAGTCTTGACTTTCGATGTTGGACAGGACCCTTGAACTGTGTAAGCCCTTTCTCCCTTGAGTTGCTTTTGTTTAAGGTTTTTGTTTTTCTGGGGTTTTTGTTTGTTTTGTTTGTTTGTTTGTTTAATCACAGCAATGGGAAATGAAACAAAGACACAGTCCAAGTGAAAATCCATAGGCCCTTGAACAAAGTTTCTTTCCCTAAAGGGTAGATGATGCCCCAGCATCCTTAGGCAGTTTAGCTCAGTCTGAATTCACAGTGTGTAGATAGACCCAACTGACAACTGTGTGTGCTTTTGGCATTTAAATAGGACTGCAGGCACTGTGTTGATGATACTGCTGGGATCCTCTAAGAGTGGAATGGGTATTTTGCTTGCAGGTGGACAGAATAGGTGGTTACTGATGGTATTTGGAATTGATTACAGATTAGCTTGAGGGACCTGGAACTACACAAATTTAATGCCAATTTTTGCATATTGTATGCATTTTGGAGAGTATCTTAACTTAGATTATATTTATTTTTGGAGACAGGCTCTCAGTCTGGTCGTCCCCGTCACCCCCCCCCCCCCCAAGCTGTCCTGAACTCAACATGTTGACCAAGTTGGCCATGAACTTACTCAGCTCCATCTGCCTTGGGATTAAAGGGGTGTGCCACTATGCCCAGCAAAAGGGCTATCTGGAACTTTAACACAGAATGACAGCTGGAACTGGACTTAACCTTTAGTAATGACAGGTCCCATGTTTGTACGTACACACATACACACACACACACACACACACACACACACACACACACACACACACAATTTTATGTGTATGAGTATTTTGCCAGTATGTATGCACCATGTGTGTGGTATCTGAAAAGGCCCTAGATTGGAGTTACAGACAGTTGTGTGTCACCATGTGGGTATTGGGGATCAAGGCTGGGTCCTCTGCAAGAGCAGCTAGTGCTCTAAACTGCCGAACCATCTGCCCAGCCCTTTGCTTAGCATCTTAAAGTGCAGTGCTTAAAGTCAGCCTTCTGTTGACGAGCGTGTCATTTCATAGATAGGAAGGAAATGGTTCTTCACTCACAGTGCTGTTGTGGCATCCGTATTTATCTCCAGGTTATACTTTAGGGTGGAATAAAAACTGGAGTATAGGAATATCTATTTTCTAAGTGTTCACATAGAAAAGCTTCAACTTGAGCTTTTTAATTCTCTGTAGTTCTGTGGGAATCAAGACCCCAAGCCAGTATTTTTTTTTTTAATGGCAGCTGTCATCAGACCAAATACAATACATGTGATTATCTGTTTTGTTTTTGTTTCTACAGGAACACTTCTGTTTCATACAATATCCTCTCTTATTCCTGCTAATCTGCTAATGCGGTAATTTGGAAGATAGCTGTCACCAGGATAACCTGTAATGGGCAAGGAGCCACAGAGAAGAAAACATTTCTTTTAGTTTTAAACCTTGGTTTGAAAGGTAAGACTTTTTAAGATCATCAGGTGTTTCCTTCCTGGAATTCTTGTACATGGGAAAACAGTTACATGTTCTCTCTTGACAGTAGAGCTGGGTAAGCAGGTCTGGGCAGTCCATCTGCACTGGATACTGTGTAGTACTATGGTGTTTTTGGAAATTAAAGAGCAGCCAAGGTAGCTGGCTTTGGTTTATCTAGGAATCTGCAGAACTCAGTGGGTCCTGTATCCAGTGGGGATTGAGCTGGCCACCAAAGGAGCAGCCAAACCTTGCAAGCTGGAGTAATGTTCAGAGGAAGAACATGAGACCTTAGGCCCAGTCTGCTTGACCCTGGGGGGCGGGGGTTCATTTTCTTCCAGTGGCTTCTAGCCAGACACCTTGCATTTTTTGAGTACTACTTGCCGTAACTCTTTACTGGAACTTTTGATTGAAGACCAGAGATTGACTTTGCATATTTGACTCTGGCTCAGTTGGCATTTAATAGGAAATTCCACAGGGGACCATTATGTCTAAGTGAGACTGACCTGCTCATCTACATTTCAGATTTTCTGTTGGCTCCAAGACTAGCTACTCTTTGATGGCTTCCTTTTGTATCTTCTAATTGGCATTATCTCCCAAGGCCTTTTGACTCTTGGTACTATATTGCCCCATTCATCTCTATAATAGTTTTGGAGCTGTAATACCCTTTGATTATGATTGCCACCTGATTGATCCTAGGCATACAGAATGATGCTTTGCCTATGACCTGCCAACCCCCCAAGAAGGAGGAGGACCCTGCACTTCCATAGTGACATTCGTTCTCTGCCATGTATCACTGCCATTTTCTCCATCTGTGTCTATATATCCCTGTCCTGTGACTTCTATGTGGGAACTTCCCCCATGGATCCCTTCAGCCTCTCTACTCTCCTTGCCTAATGTATCTGCTTTTTCTTTCTTTGTGGTTTTTTTTAAGACAAGGGCCCCCTCTGTGGTGCTGGCCTCAAACTTGTAACTATCATCCTGCTTCAGTCTCTCACGTGTTAGAACTGTGCTAATTGCTTTGTGAATTCTTAAGAGTGTTTCATTAAATTAGTGTAATAATGTTTGTTTGTTTTTTAAGTTGGATTTTAAATATTTTCTGAGCAAGGAATTGTGGATTCTGTTTTATATGGTTTGCATTTTTTTTGGTTTTACTTTTAAAAAAATTATTTTAAAACTATGCATATTTTGCAAGCATGTATGTATGTGAACTATATGTGTGCATGTGCTGTAGAAGGTCAGAAGAAGGCATTGGATCCCCTGGAACTGTAGTTACAGATGCTTGTGAACTGCCATGTTCTGGGAACTGAACCTGAGTCCTCTGGAAGAGCAGATAGTGCTCTTAACCACTGAACTATCTCTCCAGCCCTTAGTTAGTACTTTTTGACTAATAAAATTCATTAATATTTTGTGGTAGGCTCTAATATTTTAGAGGTATCTTCTGTTTTTCTTTGTTGACAGAGGGTCCTTAGCTTTGGCAGTTTATAGAATGATCTCTTCACGTTGGTTAGTATTATCATTTCTGCTCACCAGCATGCTGGTTGGCTTCCTTTGCCCCTGTGTTGGAATCTAAAGACACCTTGTTCTATACTAGGACGAGGAAACATAAGGAAAGTTAGATGTTTCTAGTGGCCCTAGAGTCATTGGCAGGTGGCTAAAGAGGATTCCTAGAATGCAACTACTCAGGAAGTTATATAGAGTAAATTTACGTTATAACAGGCCAGTTGGAAAATAGTTTGGGTTTTGCAGGCAAAACCAGATATGCCAAAAAGAATGTTAGAAGATCCTTATGAAAAAGGGGTGTGTTTTTAGACTTCCATTGATGAGATGTAAAATGTGACAGTTGTATTTTGTTTTCTCTGGTACAGATTTGTCTGTGGAGTAGACTGATTCTTTTTTTAGGGGGTAATACTACACTTAGTAGTTCTCAAAGACAGAACTACCCTCTCGGCTATCTCAAATCAGGTCTATGTCTCTCCTGTTAATGTAGATCAGTAACAGCATTCATCTTTGAAATATGCACATACTGGAGTGTCATTGTTGGGATAAACAGCTTGAGGAAGCTAGTTTCTGTCCTTCCACCATATAGGTTCTGGGGATAGGACTGTCAGCTTGGTGGTAAGTGCCCTCAGCATCTTATGGCCTCAGAGTATCCTTTTACATAGACAAGTGCTGTTGCAGCCGACTTAACAGTTAAGTGTACTCAGTGTGGATGGTGTGTGCTAAGTTCTATTAGATCTTTTGATGCTATCAAGTTCTTGTTACATTGTAAATTCCCAACTGAAGGCTAAAGTGATAGAGCCCCTCACCGTAATAGTCAGATGGCTTTTCAAAAGTGAAAACTTCCTTTGCCCTTGTGTTGGAATCTAAAGACACTGTTTCACTGTGGTTTGAGCTTAGGAAATTAATCTATTGTGTTTTTGTGTGGCAAACACACTTCTCATGTAACTTATGACATCATAGGAAGTGTCTAGAACAACTTAACTCTCCCTGTGATCAAAGTAGCTATGGGAATGACTTTGGAGTATGAGGTGTCCGGGTCACTTGCTGTGTAGTACATTCCTGTGAATGTAGCAGGAAACACATCACCATGACACTAGCAGCTGTCATAATCTCCATAGTAGCTATTTATTCAGTAACTGCACAAGGACGATTCTTGTGTTCAGAAAAATTCTATTTTGTCCTGAACTTAAAAAGTCAAAATAAAACCTTAACCACTGGGAAGTCATTAAGCTACTTTGTGGCCGAACAAGTCATGAACCAATGACATAGGCCTACAAGAAGTGCATATACCTCACTGTGAAAACACCCGGTGTCGTGGTATGACAGCTTAAACATTGCTCAGTGCCTGCTGGTGAATAGTAGGAGAATGGCCATAGTTTGAATTAACTTGCATTTTTTAGAAGTTCAATAAATTTGTCCTACTAAACCTTTTCTAGGTCTTATGTATCATTTTGTCTGTTTTTTTTTTTAAGCTGTAGATCTAACTGTACTATGTTGAGTTGTAGTATGCCACAGCAGACGCTGTTTTAAGTTTGTCTTAGCTGATTTGAAAAATATTCTGCCTATGGATGTTTCACAAAGACTATTCTTAGAGAGGCAAAGCGTGTCTGTCAGATTTGTGACAAAAACAGGAACAGTCGTCTTTTCACCTTTCTCATTCCTGGTGGACTTGGACCTGCTTAGTTGGCTCTGTTCACCTCCAATGTCTTCAGTGCCTCTGTATATTTCTAGTCTATTCTACTTTGGCTATGAAGAGGAGGGTGGATCTGTTGCATGCATACCTCCTCCCCCCTTCATCTTCTAACAGTTAAAACATACTTTTTAACTGAGATCAGTATTAAATGTAGGTAAACTTTGGTTAATTATTCCTTAAAGCAGTGACCTATTTGCAGAATTTTTTAACATAGTCAGATACATCCAGCAACCTGTCTGCCCTTCTCATTGGGATACATCCTGTCTAGAACCCCATGCCGCTTGCCTTTCTCTGGATGTGTTCCTTTTAACCTTTTTCAAAGCTTCTGTGCCTTCCTCTCTTTTGCGAGGCATCTTGACTTCTGGTTTCCTGTGTGTTTGCCTTGTTTTCTGAAGCACACTTTGAGGGGCTGTTTGAAAAAGGGTGAGAATCTGCAGAATACCTCTTTGTGAAGTGTCCTCAAAATTACTAGAGGAGGCTGGTGTCATTTTACATTCTTAGTCTGTGTTGTTTCTGTGACTTTCTCTTCACTAGACAGATTTCAAGATTATCTTTGCAGCCATGGCATTTCATGAACATCCATGACACTTTGTCTCACCAGTGTTTGGGTTGGCCTGTACAGATAGGTCCTAAAGACAGCTCTATTTGATTAATTCTGGGAAATACCATTTTACTTTTTGTGTTCACCATCAAGGTAGTAGATTATAGTATGTTCTTCTAAGCTGGTTGTGACAGGGCATACCTGTTAGTCAAGCACTGTGGATTTGAGCCAAACCTTGGCTACATGGTGAATTTTAAAAAATATAGGACTATGGGCTGGAGAGGTAGTTTAGCAGTTAAGAACCCTTGCTGCTCTTGCAGATGACCCAGGTTCACTTCCAGCTTCCAAGGTCTGACATTGGGCTGCTCCCTACCACCTTTAAGTCTAACTCAAAGGGGATCCAGCAACCTTTTCTGGCCACCATAGGGACTTCAGGCACATGATGCATATGAATGAAGGTAGATTTTTAAGAAGTAGGGCTTGGACTACAGCTCACTGGTAGAGTGCTTGCCTAGCATGCCAGAGACCCTAGGTTCAGTTCTATTCTCCTCCTCCCCATAAAAAAACTGTATGAGCATGTTATACTAAAACCAGTTTTATTTGGATACTAGATTTCCCAAATCTTTCTCTGTTTTCAGTCTTTTCATTCATTGGTTGTCATTTCCTATTCTTTGTTCTTTGTGCCTTTGTTTCACCATAGGAGAGAAGGGTTATATGGGACCACGACCACTAAGCCTACAAGAAGCTGCAGAACCTTCCTGTTTTCTTCCTGGGGTTCCATGTCAGCCCACATGTAACTATAACCTGTACCATTTATATCAAGACAATTTTGATAGGTCGTGTGGCAGTCATGTAGTGCAGCCGTCTTCTGGAATGGAAACTGCCCTTGCAGAGACTCACAGGTGCTGTGGAGCTGCAGTCAGTTCTCCCTGCCCACCATGTGAGTCCCAGGAACCAAATGCAGGTTGCCAGTCTTGGCAGGCAGCAGTGCCTTTACCCCACTGAGCACACTCGTTTGTGTTGTTTGAGAGAACAGTTACCACTGTGCCTCTTGTCTGGGTGCATGGTGCTTCCTTTCTCCTGCTTGGTGGATCAGAGGTGTAGAGAGCAGAACCTTGGATGTTTTGGTGAAAGCTCTAAATTTCTTCCTCTCTGACTTGTGTACAGCCCTATTCTGGCATGTGCAGCTTTCCTTCCCTCCAGAATAGACCATGCCTTTTTTCTAGGTCTTTGTTCCTTTTTTTCTCTCACAAGCTTCTGGGAGAACCTTGCTCCAAATTTGTCATTGCTCTTACTTTTCCTTAAAACAAAACCAAGAGTCTCCTATTCCTTGAATAAGTCATTCTTTACATATCTTAATCATTGCTTTTGAAATTGTATAAAACAAACAGATTCTCATGTCTAGTTATGGCTGCTTAATGATGTTTCCAACACCATCAGACCATGTAAATGACAGTGGTTCCATAGGAGTATATTGCCCAGTGACATCATGCCATCTGAGTTTGTGATGTTCTCAAAATGACAGAATTGCCTAATGGATATGCTTCTTAGACAGGTCCCCTTGGAAGGGATGATGGCTGTTCATTCAAGTTGAACATGCATATTTATAGAGGAACAAACTACAATACTTGAAATATTTGAATTAGTTGACAAAAAGTAAGTGAATTTTCTTGGCTGTGACCCAACATGCCAAACTTTGTCCTTTTTTTAAAAAGATTTATTTTATTTTGTGTGTCTCTTTTCTGGATGTATGTTATGTGCCAGGTGTCTGAGGAGGTCAGAAGAAGGCATTGGATCCCCTGGAATTTGAGTGAAGAGTGGTTGTGAACTACCCTGTGTTCTGGGAACTGAACCCAGGTTCCCTAGAAGAGCAACAAGTGCTCTTAACTGCTGAACTGTTAAGAACCATTCACTCCCCAGATTATTTTATTATTTTATATGTATGGGTATTTACCTGCTTGTATGTTTGTGTACCCCATGTGTACCTGGTGACTGCATAGACCAGAAGAGGGCATCAAAGCCTTTGGAACTAGAGTTATAGATAGTTGTAAGCCACCATGTAGATGCTGGAAATTGAACCCAGGTCCTCTGGATGAGCAGCCAGTGCTCTTAACTGCTAAGTCATCTCTCCAGCCCCTGGGCTTAAGCATAAAAGTGAACTGGATGATGAGACTTCCTGCTGCATTGCTCTCAGCATTGCAGTGGTGCATTTGGAACATGTTGTGTGGAGGCATCTGCTCTTTGAGCATTGTGTTTCCCAGGTGGCTAAGAATTCCACAGGTAAGCAGAGTGCAGGCAGGAATAAAAAGGGGAAACTAGGTTTTGATGAGGTGGAAATTTGTTGGCAGTGAAGGAAACATGGTAATTAGGAGAAACCTTGATTTTTCAGAGTTGAGCCTTTGTGGAATCTTCTCTGGACTGATCCCTTTTGGATCAGGCTCTGTTCTCTCCTCTGTAGTGATAGATCCTCTGCAAAGTACTTACTCAGCTTCAATGTGTCCACTCCCATTCACTAGTGTTTCTGAAAGTCAGAAAAGTACTTTGTGTGCTCCCTACTGTCGATGATGAAATGTCTGTTTTTCTCAGTTAAAACTCATTGATCTCTCTGGGTCTGCAGTAAACCTGAGCATGTTGTGCATTCATGCTGAGCCCTTCAAGGTCTGGCCTGGCGTTGCCCTTTCTCTTTCTGTTTTCTGGTCCTTGTGGCCTGCTTTCCTGCTGTGAGGTTGCTGAAGCTTCATTTGTCTCTCCTCTCTATCCTTGCAGTTAGATCTGGAGTACCTCCTTTCTCTCCACTAACTAGGTGCTCACTCTCTCCTTCCTTTCCTTTCTTCCTGAGGCAGGGTCTCATTGTGTTTTCCAGGCTGCCCTTAAACTTGAACCTTAACCTTCTGAGTGTGGGGCTATAGACTTATAGCTCCAGGCCTGGCCCCATTCTTTGAGTCTCACTTATAATGGAATCCAGTGGCAGGCTGTCCTCCACAGAGCCTCCTTGCTGTGGAGCAAGCTTGGAGGTTTTGCTTCCTCTGTCTGTTAAGACTTTATTGTCTGTGTCTTGTATTTTTCAAGCAGTCAGCACCATTTGCACTACTCCTGTATTTCCGAGACAGTGCAAATTCGCATTTTAAAGTTTCATGGATGTAATTCCTTTATTTTCCCTTTTTAAAAGAAGAGTAGGGATATCAACAATGTTCTGGGATACCTGGATATGACAAAGCTGATTGCTTTTGACACCTCTGAAGAAACCATGTTGGAGCCAATAAAAGCAACAGCAGGTTGCATGTTTGTTTTGCCTTCTCCAGGGAAATGCCTTCTGCCACTTCCCTGTAATCTGGGCACTCAGGAGGTGAAAGTAGGACAATATGGAGCTTGCAGTTAGCCTGGCCTATGTCTCCAGACTCTGTCTGTCTCACAAACAGACACACACCACTGTGTTGGAGTGGGACAGATGGCTCTTGTGTCGTATAGCTGAGATTGCTGATCCCACTGCCTCTACCTTTTAAATGCCAGGGATTGTAGGTTTGCCTCATTGTGCCTTGCCCCATTGGCCTTTATGTGGAAAAAAGTTGTTAATGACTAACTGGCTGTGGAAGGATTGGAGCGACGATTTCAGTACGACAAGAGGATTTTTGGTTAGTCACTGCAACAGCCTTTTTTATTTATTTATTTATTTTATTTTTCCTGGGCAGTCTTGCACTGTGTTTTCACTGTGATCTGCCTGCCTCTGCCTCTCGAGTGTTGGGATTAAAGGTGTGCGCCACCACCTCCCAGCAACTGCAACAATCTTAAATGAGGCAGGGTCTCATTGTTGCACCGCATAGTAGGGCAGGTGACACATAGCTCTTGAGAACTTCACATTGAGAAGCCCAAGTTTTCTGTGCTATAGATGTAAAATACACATTAGATTTCCACAGGCTTTTCACTTAATTTTTGTATGTGCATATGTGTGGTTGTATGAGGACAACTCGGGTGTCATTCCTCAGGATCCACCTTGTTTTGAGACAGGGTCTCTTGCTGCTGTGATATTTGCTGATTAGGGTAGCTTGGCTGGCTGGGAAGCCCCATGGATCCACCTTTCCTGGCCTTCCAATGCTGGAATTTTAAGTATGTACCACTGGGCTCTTTTACTTGGTTCTGTGGATTCAACTCAGGTTTTCATGTTTGTATAGCAAGCAAACTTTATTGACTGAACTGTCCCCTAACCCTCTCCTGCTTTCTGATGTGGCTGCTAAAAACTTGACACTTAGATGTGACTCCCGTGATGTTTGTATTAGTAGGTGTCACTTGGACTCTCAGCCTCCTGGGAGGGTGGAAAGGAGACTTGGGATATATAGGAATGGGTTTGAAATCGGGGCGGTGTGTGTGTGCATCCATGCCTTTGAATAAGTATGTAAGAGTGTGTTTAATTGGTGGTTTAAAATATTCCCTTCATAACACTCTTTACATAATATTAAAAGTTTTGGACACATTTTTGTTGGCTGAGGCTTTTCCCATGTGTTACTTAGACAGAAGCAGCTGCTCCTATTTCTGTACTGTTTGTTTGTTGTGCTACACATGTTTAGGAAATTATAAACACTAAAGTGGGAGTTGTCCTAACAATGTTTTCTGCAAGCCTGGTGGATTTGTTCTGATATTCCCTTTGGACTTGGAATTGTATGGGCCTAGTTCTGAAATGACATAGACAGATTTGCCTGGGTTGACATGTTACCGTGTTGTAGCTGGAGTTTTCCTGTCCTGGCAACATTCCCAATTGACCACACAAAAACTTAATATTAATTGTAAATGCTCAGCTGATAGCTCAGGCTTATTACTAACTAGTTCTTACAACTTAAATTAACCCATTCCTATTAGTCTATGTGCTGCCCCAGAACTCATAGAATTTACCTCTCCGGCATGTCTTGCTTACTCTAGGTCTGGCTGGCAACTCCTCTGCAATTCCACCCTTCTTCCCAGAATTCTCCTAGTCTGGTTCTCCCACCCAATCCCTCCTGCCTAGTCATAGGCCAGTCAGCTCTTTAGTAACCAGTGAGAGTAATACATATTCACAGTGCACCAAGATTGTTCTGCAGCACTTTGTGCCCAGGGCTCCTTTAATGCTTCACTGTTGGCTGCCTGAAATTCTTCACTGTCTTGAATTGTTTTTGGAGTCTCTGAGCACTTTTTGCCTCGCACCCAGCCAGTCTTTGGTATAGCTGTCACATAGGTCAGGGTATGGACTGGGAGCTTAGCAGAACCCATTCCTTCCTGCAGAGAGGAGTGCTCAGTTGAAATAAGGCTTTTGGATGATGATGTGGTTCTGATGTTGTTATGGTTCTTGTTATTCCTGCAGTGCACAGTTCATTCTAGGGCAACTATCAGCAGTTTCTCTTTTCAGAGAAACTAGAAGCTTCTGGTATTTTAGCCTTTTAGCATTTGGTGTCACTGTTTGGGAGTCGTATGGTGTGTTGTTGCTCCTGTGTCCTGTTGGGACTGAGAACACAGTCCCATGTTTATGTTAGTATGCTTTGCATGGTTATGTATTTAAACATGTTTACTACAGTTTTTGAAAATATAGTCTAAACTGATCCTTAGTTATTCCTTTGAATAACAATTGATCAGCACTAGCTTACACTCATGGTGTCTGGTAGATAATGCAGAGTCTCAGGCTAGAGCTATTCTTTCCTGAATCAGAAATCAGGATGCATTTTAGCAAGACTCCTAGGTGACTTCTTGCACATAAAAGCTTGGGAGGACTGCTCTAAGCTTCCAGGTGGCATTTTGGCATGTTGACTGAATAGTAGCTTCAGTTTGCAGTAGTTTCCAGTTGCTCCACTCCCCACCCCCTCACCCCCCAATCGGTTAATGCAGTGAGCTGCTGAGGCTTAAAGTGCTGACATGAGGTCTCAGGATGGCAAGCTCCAGCAGCCCTGCAGCTGGCAATAGAATCCAGGTCTCTGTGGATACTTACTGTCACTGAAGAGGTTCCAAGGGTGTTTTAGTTAGGACTACTACTGCTGTGACGAAATACCATGACCAAAAAGCAAGGAGGAAAGGGTTTATTTGGCTTACACTTCATATCACTGTTGATTATCAAAGGAAATTAGGACAGGAATCTGGAGGCAGGAGCTGATGCAGAGGCATAGAGGGGTGCTGCTTACTAGCCTGCTTATAGAATCTAGGATCACCAGCCCAGGGATGCCACCACCCACCATTGGTTGACCCCCTTCCCCATCAACCACTAATTTATGAAAATGCCTTACAGCCAGATCTTATGGGGGCATTTTCTCAATCGAGGTTCTTTCCTTTCAGGTAACTCTAGTTTGTGTATCAGGTTGACATAAAACTAGCCAGCACAAAGGGTAATGTTGTTTCTTGATGGAAGCAAGTGATTTTCAGTCAGTTATGCCTAAGTTCCGTGGATGTGCTGGTGTTCTGTGAGCAGGACGTTGGGTAGGGTCTACAGATAGACTGGTGTTCTCATCACACCTCTTGCAGATGGTTCCTCATATCTGCCTAAAAGAAGCACCCTTCTCGAAGATACTGTCAGTGCTGACACACTTTGAAACGAAGGCCTCATGTTCAAGATCGCCTTCCAGAGCTAACTTGGTAGTATGAAACTAGTGTAACAATCTTAATGGATCTGTAACTGAAACCTTGATCTGAGATGAATAGGTTTA